TATTCTGTCCTGTCACTGTGATGTACTCCTGAAACATGTAACAGTGTGTGTGAAGTGCACATAAGTGACAGAAAATAAAATAATACTCTTTGGAGAATCTTGGTGGCTCCTCAAGTAATGTCAATGCTCTTATGAGAGGTAATAGAGGGAGGTGAGCTCCCAAAAAGGAAGTAATGTGACTACTGGTTCTCAATGATCTTTCCTCTGTGAAGGTGGAAGAAGAATCATAACATGAAAATGCAAGTACGGCTGCTCTGGAAACACGGAGGAAGGGTCTGAACACCCAGGAACCTGCAAGGGTGTTGCAAGCATGGACTCTAGTTGATGGAGCTGACTTCAGGTAGACCTCCAGATGGTAGGGGAATAAAAGTCTGTAGACACGAGCCCTTTGTGTGGTCATGGAAAGAATATAGGTTGGGTATTCAGTGTCACATTCCAGGTCACACAATAATGCCCAGGTTTGTGGTGACCACCATCACTGTCCCAGGGGCAGGACCACACACTGGCTGGGTGGTGTGAAAAGGAACCTCTGCAGGAACACAGCACTGAAGGGGGGCAGCAAAAATGATGTGGTGACCTAGACTGAGCCTGAACCTGGCACACCTGTCAGCCCAGGACTTGTGACCATGAATTCATGAGTATCCTATGAGAAAGGGATGGTTGTGGTGCTCACATGGAGACTGGGACAGATAAATTTATCCATGGAACTCACATCCTTTATTTTCCCCAAGAACATTGTCAAATTTCAAAAAAAAAAGGCGGGGGGGGGATATATCCCATGCTTGATAAAGACAGATCTATAGTCCCAGACTCTGCAGCCTGACACTTCCCAAGTCTTCTCAGATGATGCCTCAAGGAGCATTCTCTCCTTCTAACCATATAGAGATTGCAAATATCCCCCACCACAAAAAGTAATAAATGTTTTTTTCTTGATGCAAAGTGTTAAACCTTTACCATTCCTTCAGTGTAGCTGTTGCTTCAAACCATCATAGAGAGAATGGTGTGCACATGACAGATTATCTCTGTCCTAAACCCCTGACACATTGGTGTGCTGAGGTCAGGAGAATCCTTGTCCCTGTCACCTCCTCAGCCCTCCACCACAGTTCTCCTCTCAACAGGGTTTCTGACACTCCCAGGCTGTGGGTTCTCACAATGTGTCCTGCACAATAATACACTCCTTAATCCCCATCTGACAGGTCAACCATAACCCAATTATCTCCCATGTTGTAGCCATCAACTTGTAATCTGTAATGAAGGAGCTATTACTTGCTGTATGTATCAATGTTTTTTTTCTCCTTTGCTCATTTTTTTCTTTCTTAAATTCAACATATGACTGAAATCCTACAGTGTTTTTCTTACTCTGATTTACTTCACTTAACATTATACTTGCTATCTCAATCCCCGTAGTTGCACATGGATTAGATTTCATTCATGTATGGATTGTTTCCATAGTTTGGCTAATGTACATAATGCTGCTGTAACATAAATGCACATCCCTCTGAAATAGTACTTTTTTTTGTATATTCTTTTATTGGAGTTCAATTTGCCAACATATAGCATAACACCCAGTGCTCATCCCGTCAAGTATCCACCTCAGTGCTTTTATATTCGTTTTTATAATAGTGAGTATGTCAATAGTCCTGTTTTCCTTTGAATATTCTCTCATTTTTAAAAAAGATTTTATTTATTTATTTATTCATGAGAGACACACACAAACAGAGAGAGTCAGAGACCTAGGCAGAGGGAGAAGCAGGCTAAATGCAGGACGCCCGATGTGAGACTCGATCCCTGGATTCTGGGATTATGCCCTGAGCCAAAGGCAGACGCTCAACCACTAAGCCACCCAGATGTCTCAGGATTATTTTACTTTCACTGATTTTATTTATTTATTCATGGGAGATGCAAAGAGACAGTGACATAGAGGGAGAAGCACGCTCCTCCCAGGAGCCCAATATGAGACTCAATCCCCAGATTGGGAACATGACCTGAGCTGAAGGCATGCGCTCAATGGCTGAGACACCTGGGCAGCCCAGTACTTTTGTATTCTTAGAGTAAATAGTGCAGTTGCTGGATCATAGGGTAGGTCTACTATTACCTATTTGATGTTGCACCATATGGTTTCCCAGACTGGCTGCACCCTTGCCCACCCACATCTCCTGACCAGAGAATTCTGCAGGGACTCAGTTCTAGTGGAGGTGGTATCAGGGCTTATTTAACAAGCAGGGCAGAGTACATCCAGTTAAGACTCACCACCTGCTGGCCAGGGACCACACACTGCCCACTGCAGGCAAAGAGGGCCTGTGTAGATGCCTGGCCTGAAAGAAATAGCAGCCAAAACAGGACAACACAGTGCATGCAGCACATACCACAGACACTCTCTGAAGACCCAGAACCAGCACCGTATGTGACCTCTTCATCATAAAGCTGTTATTCTGGAGCAGGAGCTAGAACTAGCTTTTGTACACACAGAGGAGGATAGAGACTTAGAGAATAAACCAAGATTAAGGAATTCAATTCCAGTTTGCTGCTCTGATCCACCTCAAATTTGAGTTTCTTGGGTCAGTCCCCTTGACCCTGCAAAATGAGACAGGACTTCTGCTCTGCCTACAGATCCAGCAACTTCTGTTCCTGAAAGGATCACGTGCATCCGGGAGACTGCCAGCTGCCCACACCATCCAAAGTGCATCTACCTCGATGGCATGAAGACATAGAGTTGTGATAACAATATTCCCACATTCTTGTCCTTGCGAAGGATGCCCGACCTCCTGCCCAAAGCCTGTGTCATGTGTTGAGAGGTGCTTTCCTCTCTATGTCATTCATTAGTGAGATTATGTGCATGGACCACATATGTCACCATTACTTACTGCAAATAATACAATTATTGTACAACATACACTCAAACACAAAATGAATTCACAGGACTGAGATAAGAGTTTGGAGGGAAATAAACATGGTGATTTTGACATAAAATTCCAGAATCCCCATTTTATCTTCAGCATATAAAGTGGAAGGAATTCCCCACACGGTCTTTGCTATAACAGCATTGGGAGGGAGGAGTTAAGATGCTGGACCAGGGTCCCTGAGCTTGTCTCGTTCCTGGAACATGATAGGTAGTTATCGAATCATTCTGATCACCCATGAAATCAGTCAGAGGCCTGAGAGAACAAAAACTGCAAGTCCACAGGTGGAAAATCAACCTCCTTTTGAACATAGGAGGTGTGGATGTTGTCATGGGGAGATATAGCTGTGGTGATGAAAGCAGGGAGAGAGGCTGATCCAGAATATTCTGTATAGTATTATGACCAGCAGACAGGAAAATCTGACCTTTTAGATGTCTGCTTCCATGGGGATGTGCCTGGGTTAAAGCTCCTCAGGTGGTAAAGAGGCAGGAATCCCAGGATACTAATGTGTCTAAAGAACCCAAGGATTGTAGGTGGAATGTGTGGCACCAACATGATGCAGAGCTACTAAGCACAGGAACATGGAAGGTGGCTGAGGACAGTGAGTCTGGGTGTGGGTTTCCTGCTATTTTGTCATAACCTCACTGTTTCACTGGGACCAGGTTGTAAAGGACAAAAAAGAGATGTGACCCTGTTTTAATGTGTCTGGGTGGTGTCACTACACTGCCAGACTGGGTGGATTAAACTACAGACACTCATTATCACAGTTCTGGAGTCTGGGAAGTCTAAGGTCCAGATGCAGGCATATGTGGTGCCTGGAAGCACCCACGTCCTAGCCTGTCCTTTCCTGTCATCTCGCATGGGGCCTGGGTCAGGGAGATTTCCCAGTTCTGATGTATAAGGAACCTGATCACATCAAGGGCTGCACCTCCTGAACTAAATGCTCCTCCTCCTCCCATCACAAGAGCGTTAGGGTCCAACATGGGGATGGCAGAGGTCACACACAGTGAGCTGATATCTACACCTGAAGATTCCATGAGTTATTCCTTGCAGGTGGAAAGTCTTCCTCCACTTTTGTTCTCTCCAGTTTTCATAATAGTTTAGTTGAATTTGTCATCACACAATATCTTTGAGTGGTACCTGCTAACTTCTGTGATCACCAGTCCTCCCTCTTCTCCTCCTGCCCCACTCATGAGAAATCCCGCAGGAACCATTGAATTCCCTCCTTTGATGCAGGTGGGACACTGATTCCACACAAGCCCCTCCTGGAGCAGGACCTCATCCGTACCACTGACCCACAACACACACCATGAGCCAGTGTCCTTCCCAAATCCAAGCACTTATGACGTGCTGAGAGGCCTGACCTGCTCTCAACAGACCCGATGATGAAGGTGATAAAGGTTTGTACTCTCCTGTGTCTGTGTGTGTGTGTGTGGGGGCCTTCACTACACATCCTCACAACTCACTTCTTGGGGTCTCTTGTTTTCCCAGGTTGAAGCTAATATTGTTTTTGTCAGTGTGATTCAAGACTGAGGTCACAACTGCAGTCCATTTTCTCTCCTTTTGATTTTTGACCCCCTTGTAGTGTCATGACCAGCATGTAGTTTATGTGGTTTCTAAAAACCTTGCACACTGAGCTGAGTGGTTATTTCATGTACCATGTGTGCAGCTTGGATTCTTAAAAAGGAAAAGTTGCAGTACATGGAGAAATGGGTGATAAACTGATATTTAGGGAAAGTTTAAGCAAATATGTCCTTGTGCATTTAAGAAGAGTTGTTGACTAAATCCCACAAAGTTTCCAAATCAGAAACTGCCATTTGTGGACGTTACTATATTTCTCTTTCTATGACAACAAAGATTGTAAGTTAGAGACTGAATAGGTAAAAATATCCAGTACCTAGAGAGGCTCTCTCAGGGAAACTGCTCCATGGAGAGGAAGCCCTGACCCCAACAGGAAACCTGCCCACAACCTCCACCTGCACCTGCTCCTGGGCCTTCAAGACAGAAGTGGTGAGGAGTGTGCACCCCCTGGTGGTCCCGATCCCCTTCCACAGGGAGGTTTGTGTCTGGGCTCACACTGAGGTCCCCTCACTGTGTCCTCGCACAGTAATACACGGCCGTGTCCTCGGCTCTCAGGCTGTTCATCTGCAGATACAGCGTGTTCTTGGCGTTGTCTCTGGAGATGGTGAATCGGCCCTTCACAGCGTCTGCGTAGTATGTGCTACTTCCACTAGAATAAATCAATGCGACCCACTGCAGCCCCTTCCCTGGAGCCTGGCGGACCCAGCTCATGTAGTAGCTACTGAAGGTGAATCCAGAGGCCACACAGGAGAGTCTCAGGGACCCCCCAGGCTTCACCAGGTCTCCCCCAGACTCCACCAGCTGCACCTCACCCTGGACACCTGCAGACACAAGACATCCTGGTAAGGAAACGATCCCACATCCCCTGTTTCTTACTCACCTCCACTCACAAACTCAAGGTCTCTTGTTCTCCATGAGTTACCTTTTAAAATAGCGACAAGGAAAACCAAGCCGAGCACAGACTCCATGATGACCTCTGAGTTCTGTCCTGATCCCTGAATGGCCTCACCTGGGGATCCTGGGGCTGTGGCTCCACTCCCAGCTGCTGGGTCAGGGTTGGGCTGGTTTAATCAGCAAAGAGAAGATTCTATTTGCATGTCCTTTGACTATATAACCAGCTCCAGACTTACATTAGAGTCTTTAAAAGTCAGCACATGTGTTGCACCACAATTCTATAGCAATTTGTGTAGATGGCATTATGACTATATGAAGATCTAATGTATAAACAGAGTTATCTTTGCATTTTGGGTGCATTTTCAAAAGGGTTTCACCAATATAGGTCATTTTCAATAGAATATTTTATCCCCTTAGTAATTTTAATAGTAAATATTTATTTTTGATACCAGCATAAAGCAGATTACTTTGTTAATATTGTATAGGTAATTTGTTGTTAGTTTGGATAAACTATCTATTTGCTGATATTATCTCCTGATTTTTCCTGAGCTCATCAGTTATTTCTTCCAGTTTTTTAATAATAAATTTATTTTTTATTGGTGTTCAATTTGCCAACATACAGAATAACATCCAGTGCTCATCCCATCAAGTGTACACCTCAGTGCCCGTCAGCCATCCACCCCCAACCGCCGCCCTCATCCACTTCCACCACCCCTAGTTCGTTTCCCAGAGTTAGGAGTCTTCATGTTCTATCTCCCTTTCTGATATTTCCTACCCATTTCTTCTCTCTTCCCTCCTATTCCCTTTCACTATTATTTATATTCCCCAAATGAATGAGACCATATGATGTTTGTCCTTCTCTGATTGACTTATATCACTCAGCATGATACCCTCTAGTTCCATCCACGTTGAAGCTATTAGTGGCTATTAGTCATTTCTAGTGACTGAGTAATATCCCATTGTATAAATAAACCACATCTTCTTTATCCATGATCTTTCGATGGACACCCAGGCTCCTTCCACAGTGTGGCTATTGTGGACATGGCTTCTAAAAACATCAGGGTGCAGGTGTCCTGGCATTTCATTGCATCTGTATCTTTGGGGTAAATCCCCAGCAGTGCAATTGCTAGGTCATAGGGCAGATCTATTTTTAACTCTTTGGGGAACCTCCACACAGTTTTCCAGAGTGGCTGCGCCAGTTCACATTCCCACCAACAGTGCAAGAGGGTTCCCCTTTCTCCGCATCCTCTCCAACATTTGTGGTTTCCTGCCTTGTTAATTTTCCCCATTCTCACTGGTGTGAGGTGGTATCTCATTGTGGTTTTGATTTGTATTTCCCTGATGGCAAGTGATGCAGACCATTTTCTCAGGTGCATGTTGGCCATGTCGATGTCTTTCTCTGTGAGATTTCTGTTCATGTCTTTTTCCCATTTCATGATTGGATTGTTTGTTTCTTTGCTGTTGAGTTTAAGAAGTTCTTTATAGATTTGGGAAACTAGCCCTTTATCTGATACGTCATTTGGAAATATCTTCTCCCATTCTGTAGGTTGTCTTTTAATTCTGTTGACTTTATCCTTTGCTGTGCAAAAGCTTCTTATCTTGATGAAGTCCCAATAGTTCATTTTTGCTTTTGTTTCTTTTGCCTTCGTGGATGTATCTTGCAAGAAGTTACTGTGACCGAGTTCAAAAAGGGTGTTGCCTGTGTTGTCCTCTAGGATTTTGATGGAATCTTGTCTCACAATTATTTTTTATTTATGATAGTCACACACACACACACACACACACACAGAGGCAGAGACATAGGCATAGGGAGAAGCAGGCTCCATGCACTGGGGGCCCAATATGGGATTCGATCCTGGGTCTCCAGGATCACGCCCTGGGCCAAAGGCAGGTGCTAAACTGCTGCGCCA